CAAGGGTAATGATTTACGACCCGCAACAGGAATAGTGCTTTCATCAAATGGCAAACGAATGGTCACAATTCTCGATTTGGATGATCTCTCTTGTCATCAGAGACACACTGACCAGGTTGAGTTCAATACCAGAGGTCAGTCTGTTAACGCACTCCTGCTGTTTCAAATACTAATGAGACCTTTGTAGATGATCTTGTGGTATCCGAACAAAATGCTGTATCTGAAGAACGTACTACCTGTGAAGATTCGAAGTTTCCATTCCGAGAAGATCCGAAAGATTGCGGTCAAGACCACCACTGGACTATAAACACCCGCACGCTCATTCAAGGTGTGGCGGATGTGATGAACATGACTGATGCTCTATTCATTGCTCTATTCATTCTTGTTTTGTTTTAATGTTCCATATGCTGTACATATTCGCCAATTCGAATACATACGTGCTGGTTGCCACTCTTCGCTGAATTCTGGAAGTTTGTCGGGTCGGGTTGTACCGATATACGTACGAAACTTAATTACCACAAGTATCTATCTAGTATAGTATCTATCTGTAGTGTCTATAGTATACTCGAAATAGCGCTGGAAACTCGAGTACCTGCTGCAGTACGAATACTACAGTTTTCATTCGTGTGTCCATTTAAGGCTTTCTCAAACGCCACAAAGGATTAAACCCGGACAGAAGCCAATCTTCCAACTAACCTATGATAGGCCACACCTAAAACCTTAGCACTGCTACTTCGTAACCTAAACGCGTGGCAAATGTAAAGAACGGAACTCCGGCAGAACTAAGGCAGCTTATGGTAATTTTTGGTGTAGGCATACAAAGAGCGATATACCACGCTTGTACATAAATATTCATTCCAAAGATTAAAGCTTCGTAGTAAAGCGCATCTTTTGGTTAAGGAGTAAGAGCAAGCCTTAATTGCAAAATAATGTATTGCCCATCTTCGAACTATATTCAAAGTCGTGGCTCATGATACAGCAAATTAAATAACGTCTCCGACTGTGTGAGTTTTGCGCCCCGTTTTTCGGTGTTTACTCCCTTTTTCGACCTCGGCGTCTTTATTGAAACGCGTGTAACCTGTTTGTGCAGTAGTTTTTCTTCCCACAAATTTGACTGCTCAACATAGGAAACCTGAAATTAATTTCACCGAATCTAAGCGGTTTTCGAAGCTGCAATTTATACAGGGAGTTGACTTAATCCGTTTGCACGCTCTAGTAATCAGAGTCGGCGACTTGCGATCTGAACCGGGCAGTGTGTAGGCCATAGAGGCCCAATGTCAGAATGATATATAAACTGGTGCCGAGCTACAAACGGTCGTTCCTCACTTGCACCGCTTGCGGTCCGGGTGCCCACGACATTCAGAACGCCACCAGTACGGTTTCAACGACGGTACGGCCAATTAGGCCCGAGCCGAGTACCTCATCAACCGAATTGTTGTCAAGTAAGATGGTTTAATGTGGTATAACGTCTTGTGGTTTCGCAGGATGTTGTATTCTCGGACGAACACGACGTAACCAGACAGATGATGGAGTACTTCACCGGCCGTGAGTGTTGCTCCTTTGCTGAATTCGAGTCCAAAGCCGCAACTCGACTTAAAGCTGCCATCTTGACGTGGTGGTCGGGCTTCAGTGCTGCAATGCTCCCGCGGGCTACGCTGGCTGGGACTTCGTTCCACAAGGTACAACCATGCCGGGAAGGCCAAAGGGGAGCAGCCAGACCAAGAGTAGCGAGACCCTGTACCACGAGTAATCGTGCTACGAGGCGGTCTGGGGTAAACTCGTACTGTCGTCTGCGACGGGAGTGTGAAGGTAGTAAGGTGTTTCCCCCAAGCGACCAGCATGTCCATATTTATAGAAGCAGCGATGCTGCCTTCCCCCGAGGATAGACGGGTTAGAAAAGTCGGCACCAAAAACCGCACACTCCGATTGCCCAACGGTTGACCGTGACCGCCGGCACATTATCGAAATACTTTTAAAGCCAAAGAGCCCGGTGCTGCTCAAAAGACACCTGCTGTGCGCAGCCGCATCAGGAATGAGACAGTAATGCATTATTCTCTGCGCCCTCGGGTTAAGCCAACCCCCTGCAGCCGAGCAGGTCAGACTATTGAGTCATCGGCTCCGGGCAGGGTCCCCAAAGAAAACCCCATATTCTCCCACTGCCTCGTGGGTCAGACTTTTGAGTCAGAGGCTAGGGTCAGGGTCCCCGAACAAAATCCTACGTCATCCCACTGCCTTGTGGGTCAGACTTTTGAGTCGAAGGCTCAAGGTGGGGTACCTCAACCAAACCCCCTTCCTCGGCCTGGGCAACCGGGAAGCATCATTTGCCGGCGCAGTTCAGCGTCCACCGATGTCCATCCCCAACCCCTTCCCACTGCACAAGCAAACATGGCTGGGCCATTCGACTGTCAGTCATCTGACCGAAGAGCCTTATGCTCCTCGCTGCCTACAAATAACACCTTTCTAAATCCACGAGATGCTTTCTATATGGGAGCTTTTAACATCCGTACTCTGTCAAATTAGCAAACAGGCTATGCTTGCTGAAACCTTGTACTATCCTAAAATTGATGTATGCTGTGTCTCCGAAACGCGTATACAAGACTCGAGCGTGGTTATGCGTCTCAGAACACCTGGGATGAACTCAGCTCTTTCACATTTCTCCCTCCGTGTGTCCGGTGACCCGGAAGCGACGACTCGTGGAATATATGGCGTGGGAGCTGCACACAGCCCCAGGGCTGAACGCGCCTTGCTGGAGTGGATCCCAGTAAACAGTCGTCTCTGCGCCGTCGTTCAATCAAGCTTAATGACTCCCAGCATAAAAAGCGGTGCTTGTTTGTCGTGTATGCTTATGCCCCAACAGACTGCAGTTCTGATGCGGAGAAGGACACTTTCTATCGAGAGCTATCCGGGCTCATTCGTCAGGCAAAAAGCACCGACATTGTGAGCCCCTTGGAATCACATTTGGGTTGCCCGTTCGGAGTTGACGCTCGCCGCAGAGACAACGGAGATCGACTCCTTCAGCTGTGCGCTGATCACGAACTGTTTCTGGCGAATACGAACTTTCAACATAAACGTTCGCACCGCGTAACCTGGCGGCCGCCAACTACAAATCAACCGTGGACCCAGTTGGACCACGTGGCCATCAGCCACCGGTGGAGAGTCACAATTCAAGACTGCCGTTGACGTGGTGCGCGCACGCTTGACAGTTCGTTTCCCTTCAGGCCCTCGCAAGTCGGCAAGAAGCATGCCAATCCACCAGCTTCGAAGAACCGCCATGGCTCAACAGTATCGATCTGAGCTAGCCCAACAACTCTTTACAGTAGAACAACACTGTGGTGGCAGTGAGCATGTGGATGAAGCGTGGCAAAATATGAAAGGGGCTATGCTAGCTGCGTTCAGTACTGTCTGCCCGACTTATCCAATTCGACCACAGGACTACTGGATGCCGTCGAGGTCGTTATCCATGATTGACGCCAGGAAAGCCATACCAGCGGGCAATCAGTACGACGGCGCACGCACATCCCCCAAATGCCAAATAGTGAAGAGTCTAAGAAAAGACCGAGAGCTCTGGTGGACATCGAAAGCTCGGGAGATGAAGAAGGCTTTTGTTACGGGAAACAGCCGTGCCTTTTATCAACTGATACGATTGACTGGCTCTGGAAAGCAACGGTTAGCGAAACGATAAGTGAAAAAAGATGGTTCATTAATTCACTCGCAAAAACGTCGACTGGAGAGATGGGTCGAACACTTCGAAGAGCAGTTCAGCTGGCCTCATGCAACACAATCAGTGGAGGTAATGCACACGGGCCAATGGAATGTAAACCATAATCGCCCTTCAGAAGAGGAAATAGGGTACGAAATAGCCGTACTGAAACGTGAGAAGGCACCAGGACCGGACGGTCTATATCCAGCGCTCTTCAAAGAAGGCGGAAAATTCCTGGTCACCCGTCTGACAAAGCTTAGTGATACTATGTGGGACGAAGAGGAGGTGCCTGCAGAATGGGGCATGTCGACAATTATCCCCATCTCCAAAAAGGGTACGCGGACGCTATGTGAAGACCAGCGTGGCATCAGCATGTTAGCTGTAGCAACGAAGGTGCTTTCTGGCCTTATCCTTCGAAGGTTGACTGAACACAGAGAGAGGCAGATCCGTGAAAACCAAGCTTGGTTCCGTCCTGCAAGAGGTTGCATCGACCATATCTTCACGCTCCGACAGATTCTGGAACAGCGACACTGCTTCCAGCAACCAACAATGGTTGTTTTTCTTGATCTGAAAGCTGCCATAAGCACTATCGCAGTGTCTGCGGAGCAAAGGTGTCCCCCATAGATTCTCGACCCTCATCAGTCCCGGTGGTCTCACGAAAGATGAAATTTCCATCCGGATTGGGAAGGCCAGAGCAGCTTTTGCGAACCTACGTTACTTGTGGCATAGGTGTGACATCAGCTTCTCTGTCGAGCTTGCAATGCTGTGGTGCGCTCCATATTACTATATGGATCAGAAACCCGGCCGCTGCGCGCCGAAGACGTCAAAAGACTTTCGGTGTTTGACCACCGATTTCTCCAGAGCATTGCCCGGGTCTGATGGGAACATCGGATCAGCAATGCTGAAGTACGTCGAATGGTATTCGGGAGAAATAACTCACCCTCGGTAGATGAACTGATCACACTGCACAGGTTGCGCTGGATCGGTCACGTGCTGCGTATGCCAGTCGACCGACTTCCTCGAAGGGCTCTTTTCGCACAATCACGTGGACAGTGGAAGAGGCGGTGAAACAATGACTTGACAGCGAAGTATCTAAGCCATTACCAGAAAACTCAGCTGCGCTGGTCACTGCCGTCTTCTTAGTGGGGACCCTGAGACGGGCCACATCAATGGCTAGAGACATTGTCAGATATGGCCTAGTGGCGCCCTCAATGGCGCTCGTGCATCCAAGCTATTGCCTTTAGTGCATAGCTCCTTTTCCAACCCCCGCCCGACTTGACCTCCCACTGAGAGTGCTGGACTTATGCACCAATTTATCAGCTCCTGCCTGCAATCAGCAGCTACCTACCCCTCCTCCCCAAACCATCGGTGAACAAAAATGCGCCAGCCAAAACCACCTGCGCCCACCCAATAAGCTCCAAAAAGAGCGAAATCGGCCGTAGGCTGCCGACGAATTTTTAGCAACCTTTTAAATAGTACATTACAAAGGCGCCATATTGCTCATCCGGCACGTCGCGGATTGGCCAGAAACTGTCACGACGCTAGGTGCCGTAAAGCCTGTTCAAGAAAATCTTCCGGACCCCAGAGAAAACAATTTTCCCATAGGG